TTCTGTCTGTGTGTTCCACTCTATGCATCTGAAGAAGTGAGCTGTAGACCACGAAAGCTTATGCTGAAATAAATTTGTTAGTCTCTAAGGTGCCACAAGTACTCCTGTTCTTTTGGCGGATACAGACTAACATGGCTGCTACTTTGAAACCTAAATTATTCATGTATCAAGTAAGTGCCTTCAGACTTCATGATCCCCAGCCACCTGGGAGGAACACAGCTATTAAATTACCCATCCCCACTGCACTATTTTCCTTAAACAAGATTCAGATCATAGTAATCTGAGGTAGGTTCTGAACGTTCCTAATTCTCTGAACACAATCATTGTTTGCATTTTCAGGTGAGATGCACCATCAAAATGATGACAATAAACTACAGCTTTGTCCAATGATGCAGAAAAGTGGAAAAATGCAACCTGCTAACTTCCTATTTCTGAAAACACACACACTCTTTCTGAGTGCAGGGGCTGATCAGCGGGTCATTACCCTCTCATTACACTTGTTAGAAGTGCGGGACAGGGGCATTCCGCGGGACCGCATGCCTACATATTTTCACAATTCATTGGCTGGACACATGCACAGTATGCTTTGTACAAATAGAAAATTAGGAATATTTACCTGCCATTTTTTTTGCATTGTTTAAAGCCTAAACATATTTTAGTCACTGTCCTCAATGAAAGAAGATATGCAAATTTTTCACTTCTAATTTTGATCATTAGCACTAATGTTTTTCTCACTTTTTAAAATAGCTTTTCGGGAACCTCTCATGGAAAAGATAATATGTACCTGATAACAGAAAGAAATATTGTGTCTTGCTTCCAAAATCATATTGGGTTTTAATGTCAAAGCCTTCATTTTTTAAAGAAAACTAGACTGAAAATAATCATTTTCACCCATCACCATCCCGTTCCCAGTGCAATCCAGCAGCCTAGCACGGGAGCTACAGAATCTGTTTTGTTGCAGCACTGCAGTAAGTTTTGTTTCAGTGCTATACATCCCATAAGCTTCCCAGTGGTCTGGAGATTTTCTTATTTCCCCCCTGCTCTCTGTTAGATATTCATAGCAAGCAATAAAAGCAATATCAATGGTAAGGTCAACACACCAAATTGGAAGTAAGTGAATTGTTTCTATTTGCCATCATTTGGTTGTCGGAGTTATCTTAATCAACCTAAGCAGCTTCTTCAAGACATATAATCTGATTTTACAAAGTGCTAAACCATAATCATATTTTGATCTTCCTTTGATTCCAAGTATAAAAAAATAGCCCTTATTTAATGCTCAGGCATATAATCTAACTACATCTGTGTTTGCATTTGCACGATGCGGGAGTGAAACATGGCCAGAGAACCATCTTGGATTTTATCTATTTTATTACTCGAATGGAGAATATAATAGGGTTTTTTTTTTTTGCAATAGCATGGCTTAAAAACTGTTTTTAAGCTTCGCTGGCTCCTTTAGATTTGAACTTTGCTAACAAGAATGCGATGAGAGAAAGCGTGGATAAAAAGAAGTATGCTTTTCTAATGTAGTTCAGTTTAGCTGGTCCTTTCATCAGCCTCAACTCATTCAGTAATAAATAGGAAAGGCAAAGAAATTATGAAGGAAAAGGCAATATTTTCACTGTCTAAACAACAACAAAAATGGCTTTCCCTCTGTAGCTTTCTATGCATGTGAAATAAACGAGGTACAGCCAATTATCATCTGAGAGCCTCTCTCTGTACCAAGGACAGAGATGGTATTTTCACAGCTGAACATTTTTGCCTAGTAAAGAAGAGAAATGTAAACAGTTCCATGCAAATTCAATCCAAGTATTGACAGGCAGAACAGACCCAGAATTTCTCTAACCTTAAGGATAACAAAATGATACAGCAATGTTCTGCAGATGACTAGTTTTGATCTTTTATTAGTTCTCATAATTGTCTCTTGTTAATTTGTATCCTGCATAATAAGCATAAGCACTCACCTTCACAGTTTGCCCAGCTTCAGGACCATCCTGTAAGCAAAAAATAGAAGAGTTAGATAAGTGGGGCTAACAAGGATCTCCTGGGGATTCAGAAATATTACCCATTAATAATTTAAATCCAATTTCATTGTGTGTTAATTTATAGTATTCTCCTGGGTCCCATTCAGCACAAAGCATGTGGGACCAGATGCTTTTACATTTCAGGTCATGATTAAGGGAGAAATAATATGTGAAAAGGAAATAAATACTGGCACGGTTGTTATTTTTCATGATCTCAGATCCCAGTTTTTAATTGCTAGCAATAACGTTTCTGTTATTCGTGGACGTAAAATACAGAACTGTAAGCGCTGCTTTAAATCACAGCCTGTTTATTTAAATTCTTGTTATGTCAAAAATGGGGTTAACCTCCAGATTTGCTTTAAACAAAAGGATTCGTTATTTTGTATAAGACCACTGGGTCAATCTAGTTCAGTGTGTCACCCCAAAGAATACTTCAGGTAATAAACCTACATAACACACCTAGCCAACTACTGGGCAAGGTTGCCTGTGGAGAGAAATTCTGGCCTGCAGGCAATGAGTTTGCTCCTTCAATCATGGGCTGTGAATACCCTCATTAAGAGTTGTGCCCTGCAAACACTTTCTACTCGGAGTAGTACTTACTAGAAACCAATGGATCTTCTCACCATAGGAAGCACTACACCTGGTGGTGTTTGCAGGGAAAGGCACCACTTTAGCTGTCATTAATTATCCAGACTCTTCTTTGAATCCAGATACAGTATTTGATTGTTAATCTCCATCAGCTGTGAATGCCACAGGTTATGCTATGCTGAGTAAAGCAAAACTTAACTTCCTTATATTTGTTGAGTATTTCCTGCTCCTTTGGTTTGAGCAGTGGGTTATGGAACAGGGTAAAAAGCTCGATAAAACACTAACAGGAAACAAAGCCTTTGGAGCCAATTAGTTTACAAACCTGAATCGAAATGGTGAGTGAAGTGCCACAGAAATGTTTCTCCACCACATTTCCAACCATTTGTGTCGTTTGAAATAAATCAGCCACTTCTTCAGGACGCAGATTGCGGAAACGCTCCACGGGCCGGAGTGGGCAAACAAGGACATCTGAAGTGGAAGTCGTTAAGGCAGAAGTGCAAATCCAGGTATTCCAGAACAACAGTTTGTTCATTCCCCCTCCCTCCCCCCGCCATAACAATAGGTGCTCATCCTGAAGTGAATTTCCCCTTTATTGTTAAACTCGCCTTGATTTGAGGATCACTACTAAAGCAACGGAAAGGAAAGGGTTTATGGTGAAAACACAACAATCGCATTGTGGGTTCCTCAAAAACCTTCCCCATTTCCTCACACATATGACTTCTGGGCCAACATTTTCACACCTCGGTGTCTAAGGTTAAGCCCCTAAATAGATATTGCAATGTCTTCAGGAAAGTGTCCTGAGCCTATCGCTATTGTAGGCACCTTTTACTAGAGGGGCCTCTGAACTGAATTGGTCATGTTCCAATTGGGAAGACCCTGACTACAACTCCCATGATACCTTGGGGGAGAGAGAGGGACAAGAGACATGCTCTTTGAGGGAATGCAAGGAGAGCATGTTGTGGGCTCCGTTTTTGGAGAGGAGGTGAGATTGCTTGATGGAGCTCTGTACTTACGAGGAGCTGCTGCTAAACTGCTTGTAGGAAGTCAGAAGCTGCTGCTGAGAACCTTCTGGGACTTTGACCAAGCAGGGAGCCTCAAAGGCTGTTGGGGGCTTCACTGGAGCCAGGACAGAGACTGTTGCTGTGCCCAGAACTGACTGAGCTGGGTCTGCAGTGATTACGATGACCAGTGAGCTACTGGCTCTTGGTAGAGACCTCCTTTGGTGAACCATCATGCACATATCTGACCCAGGGGATCCCTGTAAGTCACCATGCACATCCTGTGCCTTCTGCCAGTTGACAACAACTGGTCCCTGGGTCACAGTTGGCATGTAGCACCTCTGAAAATCAGGCTGCATTTCTATAGGTGCCTAAAAATGGATGGAGGGTAAATGATTAGTGATTTGGACATCCAACCTCAGACAGCTTAAAGGGGTCTGATTTTCAGAGGGTGGGTGCTCAAGCAAAATGGCCTTTCAAACAGGGCACCTAAAATTGCTGGTCACTTTTGAAACTCTTGGGTGTAAAGCCCTAACTTTAGGCATTCAAGTTTAAAAATCTGGAACTATATCAATAATACCGTGGTCATTACTTCAGCAACACTGCAGTTGCAAAGCACTAGAAATGCTCATCTATTATTAACATTATGTATTTGTGTAAGTATAGTTAGTTAATTAGAGCTGTTTCCTTTTAAGCCTCAGGTCCAGAATGCTGAAAACACATTTTTGCTTATTGTACCTCCACTCAGAGCACTTCATGAGTCAGCAGAATGTACCATCAAGTAAACAATGAAAGTGTACGGCGACAATTCACAAAGGTCTTGCTTAGAACACAACTGCCCCGCCTATCCTACCACTACATACAATCTAAACAGTACTAGAATTCCTAATCCGGGATCCTGCAAACACTGATAAGAACAGATAGTAGGTCACGTTTTCACCTCTCAGCTCATACAAAGCATAAGCGTTTCTTAGTGCGAGTACAATTGGGCTGGTCAAAGCAGTGACCACTTCAGGCTTGATGCTCAACTAGTTCTACATCGGTGGCACTCTGTGGATTTCAGTGGAGCTGCTCCTGATTTACACTAGTATGACTGCAGAATGAGGCCCTTAAATAGCAACTTTAACTCCATGTAAACAGGGATGGACATATGGTACGGTTCAGCATTAAAGCAAGAGCTCTAAGAACGGTTTGGAGAAAATTAAGCGACATGACATTGTAATACAGAAGTGCTGTTTACTGTACATTTAGTCCCGCAAATGTAATAGGTTTTGGAAAAGGAATATGCTGACATCAAGATAGTAGTTTTCCCCCCTTTCTGTACCTCAGCTTATCTCGACAGAGTTTAGTCTTTTCAGGACTTTGATTTTATATATATATAATCACCTTCAGGAGGAGCTCCCCAAGTTTGAGAACTTGCTACTATCTCCAGTTTAAATGCAAAAAAATTATGTGCAATATACATACACACACCCAGTAGGAGGATTTATCCTTATGTGTGTGTGGAATGGGGACCAGCTCCACTACAGGGCATGCAAGCTCCTTGAAGTCTAGGAAACAAGTGGCAGTCCCACAGTCTCCTTCAAAATCCTTTTGAGTCTCTGAAATGTCAGTCTGACATTTGCATAGCCTGCAGCAATGCTGCTCCTCTTCTTCTCCAGCAGGGTGAGGGAGCCTGTAGTCTAGGTCCAACAAACTAGCAAAGTCTCAGGAACACAGTCCTTACTACTAACCCTTCTGGCCCTTGTGCTGCTCTAAAGCGGAGTCCTCCAGTCTGGCTCCCACTCCTCCTTTTATAAACTCCTCTCCCTTCCCTTGAGTTTCCATTAGTTCCACTCTTAGAAAGTGACACAGGGTGTGTCCCAGCAGGCTGCTTGCCCACAGTGGAAATCGCCTAATAAGTAGCTTCAAATGGCTAATGAGCACACCTAGTGCCCACCACACCAAATTTTTGGATGATTCTGGCCCATCTAGCCAAGTCACTTCACCCAGCCCTGGGAAGTCTGTAGACATACAGAGTCCCCAAACCAAAACAAGAACTGTGTATATCCTCCCCATTGTTTCTTCCCTTATTTAACCCCCTGATCGGTGGGTTACACAGATAATCACTGTATCAATTGTACTGTGTACTACTCCAGCTGTAACCAGCAGATATGCTGAAGTTAAGAGGTTCACGGAAAGGATATGTCAGGCTGAGTTTCAAAAACCCCAGGCGATATTAGTGACGTCTCATTTCAGATAAGTGCAAAGGACCGTTTACTTACATAAACAAGGACACAATTCATTCACAAAGCTTATAGAAGGGAAATACAATTGCAATTCTGCTTTGAGAAAATGGAAGTTTCCTGGCGGTTCTGTTTTGATCACTTTTCAGAATCAGAATGGTGATAGACAATATGGGAGCGGATATCTGCCTAACTGGGACTAGCTTTTTCAAAAGAGCTCCCCACCTAGAAGCTCCCATTGTTCTCAAAGGAACAAGAGAAATCTAGTGCCCACTGTGGGTGCTAAGCACTTTTGAAAACCTATTATGTAACGGAATAGCAGAGACATTCACTAATTTTTTTACTATAATTCCTCCTATTAAAATATTTTGAAAAAGAAGAAATATGTAGTGATGTGTGTTTAGCTAGCTGGAATTAGAAAACAGAGAACTTTAGAAAATTGTCTGGTTTTGAGGGCTTTTGGTTCTAAGATGCTATATCACTACCTGGAGCTAATGCAGCTATAGGGCGTAATAAAGCTCCAATAATTTATCTGCTAGTCGTCCAAGCATACTGAACAAAGCACCTTCCTACAGGATGCTATTGGTTGAACTTAGAGCCCAAGGGGAAAGTTGAAAACTTGCTGTGCAGCCCTGATTTCCAGAGCAGGAATAAAGGAATAGAAAAACTAATTAATTTTACTCATAAAAAGGAAATTCATGTCAACAGTAAAACAGGAAAAAGGACATTTGTTTAATCTGAGTTCATTTTTCAAAAGGAAAGAAGGAAAGCCTTTGCCCTTAGGACATCTGATACTTAAATAGATAATTATCCTTCTTCTGCAGCACTGCTTTGTTATCATGGGTCAATGAACCATTCATAAATGAAAAATTTCCCTTCACTTACCTCTAGCAAAACTGCTGCTTATATTAAGCTACTTGCCGTTTTCTCCTGTTAGAGTTTTTTCCAGTTTTTCCCTCACAAACCTCCTGACTTCCCAGATCAGTTGTTTGGTCCCCAGCTAGCTTGTGGCAAAGGTCTCTGTAGTGAAGTGAGACTCACCGGCGTGGCGCCTCCTGCTGGTGATCCTGGGAATTAGCTCAACTTCAGCCCAGCGCGCCCTCCACAGGCCAGTGGTTCACCTGCCTCAGGCCCCATGTCCCGCCTGGACCCTAGTGCCCCTTACCCTGGGGTTATGCCCCTCCAGTACCCCTGCTCTGAGTCTCCCCTCCCAGGGGAAACCCAACCCCCTATCTCCACTTTGCCTCATTGGCTACTGTCAGTCATCACCTCACCCCCACTCACTGGGACAGGCTGCAGTCTGTAAAGCACTCATCACTAGCTGCCTCTGCCTAACCCCAGGCTGCACCTCTGCAAACCCAGTACCTACTTTGGGCCTTTAACAAGGCCTCAGCCTGGGGAGTTGCCAGGCTGGAGCTCCCCAGCTCCTCTGGCCTTTCCCCAGCACTGCTCTGCCTCAGGTACCCTGCTCAGCTCCCAGGCAGCCAGGTCCTTCTCTCGCCACAGCTAGAGAGAGACTCCAACTTCTGGCCCACAGCCCCCTTATCAGCTGCCCCACTACAGCCTCACACATAAACTGCTGCACTAACCATAGTTTCTACAACAATGGCGTAACATGTATTACTTGCCACACGGCTGCATTGTGCAAAAGAAAGGCCCAAACTGGCTCGGGCCAGTTTGTGTTTTTATAACACGAAGCACAAGTGAAGACGGATGTAACGGATGGTACACCGGACTGACAGAGGAGACCTGCATTCTATTCTTAGCTCTGCCACTGACTAGCTCTTGGTTTTAGGCAAGACATTTCATCTTTCTGTTCTTCCCTTTCCCCTCCCACATTTTACCGGGTCTTGTCTACTTAGACGGTATTAGCTCTTTGCAGCAAGGACTGTCTCATATTAAGAGCTGATTGGGATTTTTTTGTTGAACTGTTTTTCCACTGAAAAAATGATGATTTGCCAGAACCAAATCGGTTCACAAAACAAGTTCCGTTTCAGCGAACCTCCCGACTTGATGCTTTTTTGGAAAAAAGTTTTGAAATAGCCGGTTAGGGCTTGGATGGTTTTTAAATTAAAAGCTTTGGGTTTTTTGAGTCAAAACAACCTTTTATTTTTACATTTTAGTAAATATAGGGTAAAAAAGTCAAAGTCAAGATTAAAACATTTCGAAATGATTGAAACAAAATACTGATTGATCGAAATTTTTCTTGGTTTGTGAGTTCACAACTTTTTTTGCGATTTTGACT